GCCACTGGGAGAGGTAATTCTGCTGACTTTCCTCATTCTCGAAGTGGTTCCTGATTTGTCGAACCATCGAGAAAAAGTCACGTGGGCCCCTGCCGCAGATTCGTTGAAGATAAAATGTGGAAGCTTTGCCGCGGAGCATGATAGAGAAGGCGTAGCCCAGTTGGTCCTCCTCGATATCGACTTTCTCGCAGTTATCACGGAAGTTCGTTAACTTAATGTCCAATACATCATACATCTCGCCACCGTACTTATTTTCGTCAGGTATCAGCTTGGCGAGATCGGAAAGTTGCCTAGAGGTTGGCTTGCTGGTTCGTGTAGCAACGTTGTCGATAGGAGGTTGTGGTGGGAAGCCTGTGGTGACAGGGGGATAGTCCTGTAGAGGGAAGTTGTGGCCTTGTGGGCCGACGTAGAAGTCTTCGTCATGAGGCGGAAGGTGTTGTGGAGGGTGCTCCATCATCGCGGGTCTCGGCGACAGCGGGGGCGCTGGTAAGATATGACGAGATTGCGTAGTGGGAGGTGCTATCGTAGGATATAATGGGCGTGTAATTGGGGTAGGTCGACGAGATACTGAGTGGACCGATTGAGCTGGCGACTGTCGAGGAGTCGGCTTCTGTCGGGTTGGTCGTTCTGGTAGAGGAGGGTTGTCAACTCCCCTGGTTGCCCTGGCTGCCAGCTCCTTGGCAAGAATCTCATTCATACGGTCCTCCTTCTCCTTCTCGTTCTTCCTTTGCTGTCTCTCAATCTCCATCTGCTGTTGATATTGCTTCTCCCTCATAGCCGTTCGTTGTTGCGGGCTGATATATTGTCGTTGGATATCCTCGAGGATACGTGGATCCTCATCTAATAGACGGTTAAAGTAGGGGGAATGATGACGCATCTTTTCGACTTCCTCATCCGTCCATGTATGAAAGGTGTCACGATCCAGAACTTCCACCAGCCTAGGAGCCACCTTGTCCCTGGTCTTAGGGATATGGACACCATTGAAGAGGAGGTGATCGCGGAGCAGGCTGAGTGCCCTTGATCCTGCCGCGTGGAAGAATTCTTCGTCCCATCCATCGAAGTCGCGTTGGAAGGCGGCGAATAATTCGCGACCAAAGATTTGTTCTTGTAACCACGTAGCGATGGAGTAAGCAATGTGTGTACATACCTTCCTATTATCGCGCTCGCTAAAAAGGATCTCATCGTTGCTTCCCCATACCGTTAGGTCGATAAGTCGGCCAAAGCCGTACGGGATGGGCAGATCCTGTGACGTCTGCGATTCCGTCATGGTGTAGCGTAGTTAAGGGAGGAGGATTAGTGAAGTGAGTAGTCGCAGAGATAGCAAGTAGGAGCCTGCGGCCTTGCCACAGCGTGGATATCGCGTAAAAGTGTAGAAGGTAAGGAAGGTACAGTAGGTGTTTTTCGCGTACTTCCGCGAATCTTCGTGAATTTGTGGGTTGAAGAAGGTGAAAAAAAAAAAAAGTATCGTGAGGAAATTCGTTGTGGGCAACGAAATTGACGAAGTTGACGAAGTTGAATTATCGTGATGAGCAACGGACTTCTCCAACGGCACTTGTCGTACGGAAGGGTATTCGGCTGCGAGGTCGATCGACGACAGCGTGATAGACGCCCTCATCAACGGCAACGTAGTTGCGGAAGAAAGGTTGACGATAATGCGGGTTGTGGAGGGCCGGCGATTTCGTGATTAGCACTGAAGGGATCCCGTGGTGAGGCGTCGCAACAGTCTCTTCTGTAATACCTTGCTGATCTGCAGTATATCGCAGTAGTGGTTACTGTGAGGTTAACCACTGATCAGTGTTGGATTCACAGGTGGAAAAGGAAAATACTCGAGTATCGTGGGTAGCAACGATCACCGACTGTAGTGGTGATATTGCTTGTTCTTGTTGTTCTTCAGTGGAAGTCTAACCAGGTGCCAGCGGCGGCAGGAAGTCTGGGGTATACCACCCTCGTGTGGCTGAGCCACACGGACCACCGTGGCTGGAACGGACCGCGGCAGCAACCTCCTGCTGCCTAATGTAGGCCTATTCCAACAGTTATTATTGATATTGATTTACGCTCTATTGCGAACCTTTATTGTAGTTCTTAGGGTTGTCTCCGTCGCCCGGCGTACTTGTATGCGGGGGCAACCCGTGGTGTCCAGCACCCGGCAGGGCAGCGGTAGCCATGGTTAGGGTTAGGTTTAGAAAGAAAGCTTAGGGTTAAGAATATAGAGAATAAAAAGTAGGTATAAGGTTTGAGGAGGGGTTGAATTTGTAAGAGGAAGAGGGAAAGAGGGTATAAGAGTAAGGATAAAGAAGTGAAATAAGATTATATTTTAGAAGAAGAGTAGGTATAATTAATAGAAGCGGTATTTGAAGCGCTGTTGTAAGGGGTATTTGAAACGCTATTATAACCGCTGTTAAAACCGCTGTTAAGACCGCTGTTAAAACCGCTATTTGAGCCGGTATTTGAACCGCTGTTAAGACCGCTGTTAAAACCGCTATTTGAGCCGGTATTTGAACCGCTGTTAAAACCGCTGTTAAAACCGCTATTTGAACCAGTATTGAACCGCTGTTAAAACCGCTATTCGAACTAGTATTTGAACCGCTGTTAAAACCGCTATTCGAACCAGTATTTGAACCGCTGTTAAAACCGCTATTCGAACCAGTATTTGAACCGCTGTTAAAACCGCAATTCGAACCAGTATTTGAACCGCTGTTAAAACCGCTATTCGAACCAGTATTGAACCGCTGTTAAAACCGCTATTCGAACCAGTATTTAAACCACTGTTAAAACCGCTATTTAAACTGGTATTTGAACTGGTATTTGAACCGCTGTATAATCGCTATTTAAACCGTTATTATTAATTACGAGGTAGTACATAATAGTATATATAAGAAAGAGATTATAAAGTCTTCCAAGTTCTTTTGGATTTTGGATTAATATAGTTCTCGTAATAAATAGGAATTATATTCAAGAGCATGATGTTAGGGTGTAAGAATAGAGAGGAGTTGATGGAATTTAGAATTAGAAAGGTGGTATAATGAAAAGAGGAAGTATATATTAGTACGATGAGGAGTATGTTAGTATTACTTTATTTTAAGAAGAAAATAAAGATAGAAGATAGTAGTGTAATTAAGGAATAAGGTTATATAGTAGGAAATAATAAGTAAAGAAAGAATAGATTAAAGAGTTTTATATAAGAGGAAGTTTTTATATAAATAGATTTATATAAAGTAATTAGATTACATAGTATTTATTATAGAGATAGTAGTGGGATAAATATATAAAGGGGTAAAGAAATAAGAGCAATAGAATTAAGATTAGAATGAAGTACTAGATTATAAAGCAGTATAGTAAGTTAGTTTTAGTATAGTGTAGAATAAGGGTTTATAGGCTATATAAATATATATAGTAAGGTAGAGTAAGGTAGGGGTGTAGGAAATAAGAATAAAGCGATTAATGAAGAAGGTTCTTAGTAAAGATAGGTAGAAGTGATTATAAGATAGAATAGAAAGTAGGTTAGAGTATATTGTATAATGTAGGATGAAATGAGAAGGTGATATAGATGTCAAGTTCAAATGGATAGAAGGAGAGATAATAAGGAGTATAGTAGTAGGAGTTGATAAATGAGAAGTAGTATTGTAAAATAGTTAGTAAAAGTGTAAGGGTTAGGAAAGGGGTATTTTGGTATTAAGCAAGGGCTATATTCATTGTGAGGCAAGGGCTATTTTACGTGTTAGATAAGGGGTGTCTTAATTGATAGAAAAGCGTTGTTTTAAGGGATAGAAAACGGGTATGTTAAGGGTTGGGGCACGGGTATGTTAAGAGTAATCGAGAAGTCGCTGCTTGCCCCTCCTGGTTTGGCGGCACGTTCCAATCGGGCATGGCGCCCACGCCGCTTTGCACGTGCACCCCTGCCCGTGCCAATTGACGCCGCCCTTAAATACGGCGTCGCCCTCCTCTCGACGTCAACCTTTTGTACCATCTACCTTTCCCTCCCAATAGTTTCACGAAAAATTCATCGCTCGGGTTTCCTGCTTCTCCTTAGTCGTACCCTTGCCCGAGGGCAGTGTGACTCTGTCTCTTACGTTGCTACCTTGCCCAGTCACGCCGTTATTTCGCCTCCAGCTCTCTCCCCGTGTCGAGGCGTTCCATACGACCTAGGCGCCTTCCTCTCCCGCTCCGTCTGCTCTGGGTATGACCCCAAATCGCACCTCGATACTATGAACCTATTCTGACTCGAGAGTAGGAGGTCTGGACGGTTGTGAACCGGAGATGGGGGCCGGGCTGAGTGTTTTACCACGAGAGGCAGAGTCAAGAGTCCCATCATGCGCTGATGTAACTCACTTTCTGAGCTGGGTGACTTTGTGATGGGTTCCTGAGTCTTGCATATCTCAGTGCCTCGGACGTATCTCGCTCAATGGCCTAGGTTCGCTGCCAGTCACAACCTACCCCCTGTTCACCAGGCGCCAACTTGGTGACGCAAGGGGGCTAGTCAGGCAGCTTTGCCTTGAATTCGGCGCCTGGATCGACCTCAATCATTTCGCTGTTTGGCTCCTTAGTCACCTTCGGACCGACTCTCAAGATGCGCGCGCTGAATGCCTATTGCGGCACGAGCCTCTTGATATGGATGCATCATGACGGTTGCTGCATGGCAGGCTTCATGCGTGTCTGCCTTGCACTTCAGCCTAGCCAGCATCCCTCCTGCCCAGCACATGATACCTCGGGCAAACGGAATGGCAGCCCAGACGGTGATATGACCTTTTTGGTCCTCAAGATGGCATATCATGCCTTATCAGGCCATCGGCTACTCCGAGAGCTATTGAGAGATGCGTACGGGACTTTGGGAGGCCGGTCTCAGGTTAAGTAGCATCCATAAGGGCGTATCCTTCTGGCGACTGCTGATTGGCAACAATACGACATTGTCTACGAACAGTGGGGGACGAATGTGCCTGGACAGTCCAGGCATCGTATGCGCAGATATTGGCGTTCAGAGGGGACCCCTTGGCATGCTCGCTGTTCTACTTTTCAGACAACACGGAAGCGTTAGCGCTTGCGCTCGTCACTGAACATCGACTACTTAAATGAGAGCGTCTGGCTGATAGATTTGGACACTCATCTTCTCAAACATCAGACCTTTGGAACTCTCCCAACGTTCAACCCAAAATGCCCATCAATCTTGACAACATTTCATTCTACTCGGCTCCAGCGCAAGCTGTGCGTCCACCGGCAGCCAAAAGCACAATAATACCTCCTTCAGACGACACTACGACCACACCCGATCAGAACACGAGTCATAGAGACAAGAACCCAATCGTGTCCTCCCAATCCCTTCCAGAGGCAAATGTTGAGGGCAAAGTCATTTCAAAAGATAGGCCGTATCTGCGGATTGAACGCTGCCCGGCAACAGGCGATATGGGCCACAGCCCAGCCAAGAAGCCTGTGGCAGTGGACTTCAATACGCGCGAGAACTCGCCTGAGACGGCGGCTTGGTCTGCCAACTGTCTACCAGTCTCGTTCCCTTTGTTGCCATCCGGGGCATTCGCTGCGGCAATGCTTCCCTCGCACCCAGACCCAGGTCCCCAAGCTGCCAACAACACAGCCGACCCGGCTCTCCTTCTAAAGTCGACTGGGAATGCATCGACTGTCAGCTTAGAGAGACCTGTCAAAGAAAGCACTCCGCCATACACCGAGCAGCTGCCCCAAGTGAGTCAAGCAGCCCATGATGAATTTACGACCTGGCTGCAACATCAACAAGTCGTGCCATCCAGCAGCGCGGAAGTTGGAGAGACCCCAGAATCCCCGAGAGGACCTGCCGAAAAGTCTGGCACGATGCAAAGCCCAGTGTTAGCCGAAAGTGGGCTGCCGTACTCTAGTTTGGCATCCCTAGGCCAAGACACGCCATGTCACGCCGAAGATTACACACGCCAACTCCTCTCCAGACAAGAGACTCTCAATCCGTGGCCAAACGCTGGTAACAACGAAAGTAGCCCTAGCTCAACCGATCGAAGCGAGCCACTGATCACAGAAACGGCGTTTCATTCCAGCATTTATTCACCTTCACCGGACGAAATACACATGGATGCTGAGACGACAGCATCAGATGCTCCTCCTATACACTTATCTCGAGTCCATCGCCGAGCTCGCAAATCACGACTACCAGCGGGCGCTTATGCTGAAGTCGATTCGGACCCGGAATCTAGCGATGAGGATGGCGCTCGTGGAACCAATGATGACTGCATCGGAGATCAAGCCAACCCGGACAGAATCCAGCGAGGGCCCCAGGGCTGTGAGGACAATTCTGACCAACGCGGTCAGCCAAAACCCAAACGTCGTAAAAGAAACTTCCAGGAGACTGTTGGCACCAGCAGGGCTCTGAGACCACGGGACACGTCATCGCAATTAGCAGTAGAGCTAAGACGAAGGTCAGAGCGGGCTCCAAATCGACCAAGGACAAGTGGAATTCTGACCCCGCAGGTCTCTCCTGCTTCTACCGAGAAAGAAATAGACCCCAGATCCTTCTTTGCGCAATATGATGAGTGGCCTCTCAAGAATGCAGTCCTGAAGCGCATCACAGATGGAATTGTAACGACATTTCAACTGCAATGGGAGCAGCCGTCCACAGAACGACAACAGACGCATTGCTATCCCTCAGTTAGTCGGCCTTCAGGTTCTTCGCTAAAGGGACGAAAGTCTGCGAGGCGATCTGCCAAGTCCAGATGCCCGTTTTCAGAACAGGAGAATGAACTCTTGATTCAACTGAAAGGACAGGGCCTTTCATGGAGGGAGATCCACAACAGTTTCTCGAGTTCCTTTCCGGGCCGGTCTCTCGGGACGTTGCAAGTCCACTTCTCTACTAAGCTGAAGATGACGAGATAAAAGGGCTTGGTAAGGTGCGACATATGCGTGTAGATAGGTCGATGGATTGAGAGAACGGAAATGGACTTGGACATGTAAGGAGAGATCTATTGTAGGTCTTTAAATGTGTCAGATAGCCTTACACTTCCCAATTATCACCCTGGAAATTTTCGCGGTGTCAAGGAAGGAAGCTGGTTCTTTGGTCTGTCCTATTAAAAACGCTGCCCTACATCCTGAATGACCAATATCTTTTTGACTGATGGTAGGATGACACAAAGTTGCTAACGTGTATTGTCGGCAGCTGGAATAATCCTCCCACTCACCAATTGCAAGTTGCGTTTCCTTCTAGAAGCGAATATCCTCCTGGATTTTGACCCAACCAGCGAAACTCTCCGGAATCTCACTCTAGGACATGGCAACTCCGATCCTTTCTAGAGACACTACCTCGGACGTAACATTTCGGCTGACCTTTGGGGCGTCCTCCGGGGGCAGAAGCTACAACAGGCGCTCATGAAGCAATCTTGCAGCATAGGTCACTCCATCTCCGAGCGTCGCCCTATCGGCCTCACATTAGAGCAGTCTACATCGGTCGCCACGCATCCGACTATCAGGGAGCTGACAAAACCTCTTCGAGAACTGCCGCAAGGCTCCAAACAGTATAACCAAGTCGAGCGAGCGAGGCGGAACGAAAAGCAGAGGCTCCGGAGAGAACTCAAACAGAGAATCAGAGACGAGTGGACTGACAAGCAAGCCACAGACGACATCGAGCGTCAGATACATGGCATCGGATTTGCCAACCCTGCGAACAGACGACACCTGTCGACCTCAGGGCCCAGCACCAAGGCACCTGATGAAGAAACTCACTGCCCCGATCGTGACCACGCTCGAAGGTCAATATCGAAGGAGGGATGAAGCCATCGAGGCTGTTTCCACATATTGTCTTGTTCAGGAAGGATGCACTGTGCCCCGGTCTCGCCCTCGGTCGACACCAGAGGCCGCCATTTGTTGCTCTACTTCTGATCCGCCTGAGGGCGGCCAGTTGGACCTCGTCACACGATCTGTTCTCATCACTAACGATAAGGAGCGGCCCAAGAGATGCTTTATCTGTATTGGACAGGCCTCGGATTTAATTCCGGACGACAAGGGTCGATTGGACGAACTCACCCATGAGTTCTGCTCTCGGCGGGCTCCAGTCATGTTTTCGGCTTCGTTGCAGCTTTTCAAGAGATCCGCGTCGTTGAAAAGGTGGGCTATCGGCGATAGGGGCGATCCGTAGGGCATGCCGGTGTTGATTCTGGATGTTTCGGATCGGAATCTGTCTAAGTTGATCTCAATATCCAAGAGAACTGGCAATTCAATGCACCGCCACTTCGTCAGTACGTCCCTTCCCCGGTTTGTACAGGAGTCAGCTGTGCGAAGGACTATAGAAGGCGCTTGGCACGGCCAGGAGAAATAGGCATGCTGCCATTTCCTTGAGCCCCAGGCTTCGTATATCCATCTTGTACACGATTGATGCAGTGCGTGTTCACTCCCGCATGTGACTATCTGGGAGCAGCCCGTATGTTTCGGCAGGGTAGCTCAGTCTTTGTGCTATTGTAGTATCCACGATTTTTCCAACCGTGTTGAAGAGTGCTATTAGGCCTGTATATTTTGTGCGCTGTGTAGTTTCTTCATCTGGCTTTCTCAAACCTACTGTGGTGGACTTCCTGAAGTGTTTCGGACAATGTCCGAGATTGGAGGATGTGCGCACGAGGTGTAGTGCAATCCATTTGTCAGGCTTATGCCAGTGCACTCGTTACAACGATTGTCACACTATGCTTAGGGGACACTATGGTCTTACACAAGCATGACTAAGTTTGTTAGATTGACGCTTGTGTCCGGATATAAGGCAGCTGACACTTGGTTATCCGCATAGCTGTAATATGCAAGAGCCGGTGAGAGCGGGTAGATACAAGACAGAACCCCGCTTCGACCGGGATGGGTGGAATCCCTCAATCAAGCACAACAATTACTCTTTGATCAATGAACCCCAGGTGTATTGCATCTAATAGACATCGATTATCTATCAAAGTTTGCCAAGAATATGCCGGCATACGGGATCTTCAATCCACTACTAAGATAGTCGGGGTATTCCGATAGCCACTCATTCCTCATTTTCATCAATACATTCCATTGACCCCCGCCTGACAGTCGTGCCCCGACACCATTTTCTCCCCATCCGAAGTGCCATTTTGGTTATGCCATCGGGATCCGAGGCCTTCAGCGACATCAGCCAACCTGACAAATCAAGCTAATCAAGTGATATTGCGAAAGAACAGCGACATGCGCAGCTGAGTGCATCTCTAGTCCGGAAACATTGCGCAAAGAGCACGGAACCTATCAGCATGGCGCTTATGAGGAGTCGCATAAGGGCTTTGCAATACGCGTAGTGTAAGGTGGGGTGCAGTGGAAGGGCAACAGGCAAGAGAGGAACAACTGCATTGTTCCGAATTATTGAGAGACTACCAGCAGGTTTAGGCGGTTGCGTATGCGACAGAGCAGCGGCTGAGACGATGATTTATTTCTAGTAGGCGGTGAATAGATCAGCAAGTCCTACTGGGTAGTCGGTCTGGACAAGGGTTTGTCGTGAAAAGGGAGGACGCTCCGCAATTCGGTAAGTGGTGTAGAAAGCCCCTTACGGATACCCGCTCGATCCGTAGGCGGTGAACAAGCGCCAGGCCCAGCACTGGGCGGTGAGACTAGTGCTTGGCGTGAACCAGTCTGCGACTCAGGTGTATGATCTTGTGAGCAAACGGTGAGATTTACGGTGAAGTCGCCACCTGGACGGTGCGATTTCAGGAAGGCGGTGTCAAGCCAAGAGCAGACTCTTACCTCGGATAGGAAGGTGGTGAGTAGTAACGATGGGGCTCGTGCGCGGTTAGATAGGAAGGTGGTGTGACTGACAGAGCTCTCGAATCAAGCACGGACATTCCATCCAGTCGGGCAGGCGGTATGGAGCCCGGCACATCATGGGCCATTCTCGGCAGGCGGTGGACTTGATTACTCTCTTCCCGGTATTCGGTCTCGGCATCATGTTAAGAGATGAAGCCTTGTCCAAGGAGCATATCCTGGAAACAGAATTGAAGCGCATCTTTACCACAGCGATGAGCTCGATGTGCAAGTCACGTGATCCATGGCAAAAATTTCTGTACAAACAGGGACACTAGCCGCTACTAAACCTTAGCATCGACCTTTTCCAACATCACTCACATCATTGTTCAAGTTCCAATTTACCAACGACCACTTCTTCTCATCAAGAAATCATCGACAATAATCAAAAATGGCTAGCATGACCTCTCCAGCTGAGCCGTGGTCTCTGAAGGGTAAAACTGCCATCGTGACCGGAGGCTCCCGAGGAATCGGCAGTGGGATTGCCGTACACTTTGCCCGCAAGGGCTTGGAAAACCTCGCCATCACGTATGTGGCGAACAAGGCCGCTGCCGATAACACTCTGGCAAAGTGTCGCGAACTGGGTGTCAGGAACGCCGTTGCCATCAAGGCAGATTCAACAGATCCGACAATCGGCCCAAAGATCATCAAAGACGCCCTGAGCGCACTCAAGGTTACGACTATTGATATTCTGGTCAACAATGCGATTCTCGCCGACATCAGCAACACGTCGGACGTTAAGACGCTCCAGGCCAAGGACTTCAATGATCTTATGGTCGCAAATGTCTACACTCCTGTCAGCCTGACAACTGCCTTCATGGAGCACGTCCCCAAGTACGGTGGTCGCGTCATCAACATCTCCAGCATTGCTGGCAAGTTGGGTAACTCGGACCCAATCATCACGTACGGAGCCACGAAAGCCGCGCTCGAGAGCTTCACGAGGTCTTTTGCCGACACCTTTGCCTCAGACAAGGGAATGACCTTCAACAGCGTCGCGGTTGGGCCCACGGAGACTGATACGCTGGCCAAGTCGAGGGAAATGGATCCGGAGTTCATCGAAAAGCAGACAGAGTATATTACTGTTGGTCCCCGTCTCGGAAACACTGACGATATTGCCTACATCGTTGGCTTCCTTGCGAGTGAGGAGGGACGTTGGGTCAATGGAGCTGCAGTCAGTGCAAACGGTGGATATCGCCCACTTCTTGCGCTTTTTGGCTAAATTTCGACTTACATCGTATGACTTGTACACAGAGCTTTCTAGTTGAGTGCGTGAATCAATCACAGTGCTTTCAGTAGATAATCGCTTGGAAAATCATTCACTTGACTTCCGAAAAAAAAAAAAAAAAAAAAAAAAAAAAAAAAAAAAAAAAAAACCCTTAGCATGAACCCAAATCATTTCTCAAGAGCCTCGAGTCCTATATCTTCGACCCGTTACGATCGAAGCCCTCATGTTTGGTATCTCATTAGTATACTATTGTACTAATGATACTTTATGTATCATTCTCACGACAGTTGTCGGCTTTTCGTAGGGCATATGTACACGGGAGACTACACATGTTCGCTGAGGACCTAGAACACCATTTTGGCATTGCTGCCTACGTTTTTAGTGGAAAGCAAGGAAACGATAGCGTGGAGGCGGGGTTAGTCTTGACGCTAACCTCCGCTGTAGGCCCATGTTACCCGGCCCAGCTCGAACAGTGAACAGCTATTGCGATTTCGGCCAAGGTCAAAGATGTAAGACAGTCAGGAGCACGTTGATTGATTGATTGATTAATTCCTACTCGGTTTTGGCCGCTTTAGTCAGCAGCTATGCCCGGATAGCGGGGTTTGGCTAACAGCCGACGCGCTCCGAGTATTAATCCGCAACGCCCCACTTCACCAATGCAAAACACTGACCAGCTGTCCCCTACTCGTGCCCGCCCCCACTTTAATTGGGAACTCGGGACTCGTCACCCACTAAAGTGGGTGCTGAGCACCCATATGTCCAGATCGGCCAGATGTCCAGAAAAGCATCAATTGTAACTATTCCCACTTTCAACCTCTCTTTAGCCAGCGGCCGCAACCCCAATCATCAACTATATATAGCAGCTGCAATCTCCCATCTTTCCTCATCATGCGAGCCTTTTTGGCGGTTTGGCGGATCTTTTGCTCAGCTGACTTAATAACCCCAAGGGCCTTTGTATACTCATTATCCTGCCTCTGCTTCACCATACTCCTCCCATCTCTTACTCGAATAACCCCTCCTGTTTGAAGTTGGCTGTTTCTTGCCTGTCGACGAGCCTTTCGGACTTGTTCAGCTAAGTTGGTTCTTGAAAGATCCCTCTTGATCTGGATCAGTTCAGACCCTTGGGTTAAAGCCCCTCTAATGAAGCGATGCAGGTTCTGGCTAAATGGTGATACCTCTCCAGTCAACTCATGGATCTGGTCGTGGATGATCTCTGAGGCCTCAGATAGCCTAACATACAGACAACGATGAATCCGACTCAGATTCATTGAAATGCCCATAGAAATAGAAATGGGTCCCTAACATACAGACAACGATGAATCCGACTCAGATTCATTGAAATGCCCATAGAAATAGAAATGGGTCCCTAAAGACAAGGGGTCAGATTCATTGAAACGACAGGGGGTCAGCTTCATTGAGTTTTTCTTATCTAAAATAGACGATATAGACATGCATCGAAAGCTGAGAATTAGGCGAGCTCAGAAATGATCTTACCTTTATTATAAACCCAGTATTCACCTCTATATGTATAGATTCGTGATTGACGGTTTGATAGGGTCAAGATGGCTCGTGCATGGCTGCACCAATGATCGGTAGGGTGGCCGTTACTCAGATGGCTCGTGCGTCGAACCTTTGAACAGCATCACTACCAAAGCTAGACGTCTAGTAAAGGCTAAGAGCAGTCAAGATCTCAAATCGCATATGTTTAACGAGTTTGTATTTGGCCGTTTGATTCAGCAACTAGTATACTATAACCCCTCCATGCATAACCATAGAATCTGCATTCTGTAGCATACGTTCATCATGCCTATAACATCATAAAGCATGCCGACCTCATCCATCTCGGTAAGCCTAGTGGGTGTTCTGGCAGAAAGGCTTAGTCGGGCGACGGCCAGTCAGCAACAATGACCGCTTGTGACTGATTTCGTTATTTGTCTTCCGTTTTTCGATAAGATCTAACAATTGGTTATTACATGCGATTATTACATATGGAATTGTTACTTACTATCCGTAGTATCGGCGCGCTAGGCTGTACCAAGGTGGTCTCCTATCGTCAGGATATTCTTCACCAGGACCATGTCCTTTTGCTGGATGGTGACACGATGGGCATGGATAGCAGCCAAGTTCGACACTAAGATGATTAGCGAATGAAAACTAGTAAGTTAGGACAGCTTACTCTCAAAAACAGACGTCAATAAATCCTCAGACGCAACCTGGAGCGCCTCCGATGCGCTTGCTTGAATACGAAGGCCGCCTTCATGCTCGGCATGCTTGGTGCTCTGGGTAACCTCTCGGACCAGTCGCTGGAAGAGGGTCTTCTGGAGGCAGAAGCTTGTCGATTGCTGTATCTTCCGGATCTCTCGGAGAGCAGCCACTAGAAATATTAGAGATGTAATAACCAGATGTAATAATCAAACTTACCGCCAGGCTTGAAGCGTCGTTGGCGTTTCGACTTGCCAACAGTGATGGGGCGGCGTTGGCTAGTGGGGGGGTACGAGGACCGACGGGAGGAGCGATGCGAGGACCGATGCTGGGAGCAGGGGAGGGAGTGTGGGCGTCGGAATCTGCCATGGTCGTAGTATGTACGATACCCTGTTTTTGTAAGTAATAATAAAAGGTAGGAAGGAATTAAAATTACCTCGAATTGCTTGGGGACAAAGTAAGAAGAAGAGAAAAGAAGAGGACGCAGGAGGCCTTTTTATATTAAGAAAAAGAGACGCCGGTGATTCACTGGTCGGAAGGTACGTACCACGGGTCGTGATAATTGGCAACTACTACGGAAGCTACCTGCCCTCAATGGTAGCTCTCCGCACCATATCTTATAAATTTTCTTTCGCTACGCGTCGGTCTTTTTCTTTTATTACATACCCGCCTTTTTCCTTTACTTTCTCCTACCTTTTCCTTCTTGAAAGCCACCACTTTTGCCGCATTCCTCTAACCTTCCTCGCATACATTATCCTGCAGAACACAATGTCGTCAGCTTCTCCTGGGCAAGGTAAGTCATACTAAGGAATATAAG